TATATATATATATATATATTAAAATTATTTTTAGAAACATTACACTTTAATCGAAAGAATAAATCTTTTATCATGAAAGAAGTGTTTTACGAGAAAATACTTAAGGCAGATAAAAATCTACCAATAATATTAGATGTTTAAGCGAGATATATGTGTAGAAATACATATGTCTACATAGATTGCAATTAAATCTAATGATGAATTCGACACACATGCATAATTACTCCGTTCTAGTGCTGGACATAGTGAAAGTGCAGAACTACTTTAGTGCTATGTCAAATTGCACTGTTAGAATCGTCAGTGCAACATTTTTTGAACTCGTTCAATTCATTCGATTGGTCCGAATATAAATTCAGCATTATATTTATAGAGGTTAGTTATTATTTACCGAATACGATACTCTTAACCTACTGACAATGAGACAGTGTGCACAAGCCGAATACGTGGCACTGAAAAAGTTCGCACTCAGTGCGCACTAGTGCGATCTGTCCGAATTCGCTATAATTGATTTGATAAATTGAACTTTATGAATTCTAAGCGAATCTATCGAGATTCCGAAATCCACAAAAACCTAATACATTTAGAAAAATGAAGCATACCAGTAGTATTTTATATAAAATATTTAATGAACAACAACGCTCTAAATAATTTAAAAACTCAAGAATGGATATTCTTTAATGGATGACCTAATATTCACGATTTGTTTTTGGCATCAGTGTGAGATCAAGTGCACGACAATTTTCGAGCGTTTAATTTCGATCTCCGAGGCTGGAAAATCCTCACCGGATTTTCACGCTGGAATTACTCCATGCGTCTGCGAAGAGAGGGCTGTTAACGTAGAGCCCGCGGGATCCGTGACGTTTTCGAGCAAAAAGAATTAAGCGATAGTGGGAAGATACTGGCCGCGCGCGTAAATCCATTAAAACTCGTCTTTTGTTCCCAACCTGTCGAAAGGATTTATAGGCCGACAGCGACGGTCGTGCCGTAACAAAGACAAATGGATCCACGAATGAAGTAGAATGGCCAATGCAGCCTCAAATATAAAATTAGTTTGAACTTCATGCCTCAGTGATCCCGCGTCATTCACGCGCGCGAAAAAGAGGCGATATAAATATTCGTCGGCATAGTTGTATCCGCTTTTATGGGTCCACGCGTCGCGTGAATCATTTATTATCCTCTTTTGATGATACATAATACAACTCGCCGAACGGGGATGCATGTGATGGGAGTGCGGGGAGAAGAGAAAATCCGCGACGAGCCAACATACGTTCGTGATATAATTTGACATGATATAATTTGACGTTCCGCTGCCGTGGAAAGACCCGAGCGACTTTTGTCTCACGCGAGATTTATGATATATGATAATTTTATCGCGTGGCAAAACCGGAAAATTACACGCATGTCGAAACTGACGCGCACAAAAAAACGTTCGACCGAGGCGGTGCTCAGAGAAAGATTTGCGCTCGGATTTTCGCGACATGAACGTGAACAATGAGTGATATTAATGTATCAACGAGTTTTAATGTCGTTCGAATCTCATTAAATAGTGTTTTTACGCCATGAAGCTATTATCCATTAATTAGAAATCAAACAAGCCGTGTTTAAGTTTTACACAAATTTAGAGTCCATACGAACATGCAATTAAATAATACAAAATCAAACTCTTCGTAAATCTTTTTTCTCCGATCATCAAGTATAAGAGAGAATTAATTAGAAGAGAAATATTTTTTTATTATTACCAACGCTAAAATCGTCAGATGATGTTAAAAATGTTGCATGTACTTCGGAATCATAATCCGTAAATATTAATGCATATCGTTTTTGTAGATATAAAAAAACAATTCATGACTCTCGTTACAATTTTATTTCGCAACTTTGGCATTTAATGTGCACATTTAATATAAATTCTCTCTCCCTCCCCCCCCCTCTCTCCTCCCTCCTTCCTTCTCTCTCTTTCTCTCTCTCTCTTTCTCTTCCTCTCGCTTACTCTCTCTCTCCCTTCATTTCGTAGAAAATGTATCGTTTCACTTTCAAGAGTATCCGTTAAATAAGTTTCTTCTTCATATCCGCCATGTCTAATGTATATAATATTAAACCACGCACATTATTTGCCTTTTAAATCCGTTTGGATAATAATTTAATTATACTTTATGGGTGTCACAGAAAAGGAAATCTCATTTCGAAAGTCAGATTCGCAGGAAATAAAATTGACAGAGCTTTAGTCTCATTTTCTTCTCTTTAGCGATTTCTTCGCGAAAAGCATGCGGAACCAAGAAGGATTTACGTCATGCGGACGAACAGAGGCGCAGTGTGCTTACCGCTGATCCACGTGCCGTTGAAGCTCTTGGGGGATAACGAACCCGAGAGCCATTCCTCCAAGGAAATGCCGGATGCACCGTTCGTTCTGGACGCAGTGGAATCCGGACTGCCGGTCAGAAGGATCGCCGCCGCGATCACCAAAGCCAGCACGATTATAAGGACAATGCCACAAGCCAGCAAACGCAATTTATATCGCTGCTTGTTCTTCGTCATGAGATCCTGCAAACATTATTATGAGCAATACCGTATGATAGAAAGCATCTAATAATAGATTTATACAATCGCCAATAAAATACAATCGATACATTTCTTATTTTTATAATTAATACGATTAAAAACAAAATAATCAATAAGAAAAATCTAAAGAAAAATTTAAAAAATAATAAATAAAATGCCAATTTGAGCCAACATTGATTATTTATGTGTATTTTATACCATTTATGATTATAAACTCAATAAATTTATCAAAGTCCAGAAAGATGTGCTATCTCAATCTTCTCAATCTAATGTAGTATATAAGATTGACTGTAAGGACTGTGATGCGTCGTATGTTGGACAAACAAGTAGATGCCTTAAAACACATATAAGTGAACAGGAATTATTCATATTAACAGAAACACGATTCAACATTCGGTTATCACACAACATCGTATGGACTTATTTCATGAATTTGATTGAGATAACATATATATTTTAGACAAAGAGCAAATTTTACATAAAAGATTGTTATCAGAGATGATACATATTAAAAAAACTAGGCCTGAATCTACAAAACGATACTTTCTCTCAATCCTATAAAGTTATATATAGATCTATTTTCAGAGACGTAATGCTTCCAATCTATATCGTTTGTCCTTATTTATTATTTATTATTTATACTTATTGTCTTTGTAAGTATATGTTCTGTTGTTTCTCTCAATTTTTTTTCATTTTACATTCGTCTACCAAACAGTTATGTCGTGTCTAATAATTCTTAATTTTGTTTCATGTAAATGAACTTTAATTTTAACTATTATTTATATTAACTTTTTACTTTATTCATAATTGTATTACACAGTAAATGAAACAGTCTAATGGAACATGTACAACAAATCTTATAGAAACAGTTCAATCTTGACAGTCATGTAAGTTTATTTTACCATATTTTTTAGAAATAATTTCATGTTAACAATTTAAAATATTTTTTATCTCCTTTTGGTTAGTCGATTCAAAACAAAAAAATTTCTTTCTTTTTTAGTAAACTTAATAAATTTAATAATTTGATGACCAAGATTAACTCGGATATCACTACATTTTTTTTTCATATTTTATATTAATAGTTTATACTCGTACCGCGCTATCATTATGTAATTTTGTAATTAATAGTTTAAATAAATTTCTTTGTACTGAAGAGGACCTTGATCGTAAGTCGAAACGTATACGTTTTTATATTCATTTTGAATAAATGGTATAAAATACATACGAATAATCAATGTGGCTCAAATTGTATGTGTGTGTGTGTGTGTGTGTGTGTGTGTGTGTGTGTGTGTGTGTGTGTGTGTGTGTGTGTGTGTGTGTGTGTGTGTGTGTGTGTGTGTGTGTGTGAGGGACATTTTATTTATTATTTAATACAATTAATTCTAGTTTGGTATAGATAACAATTATAATTGTATCTTTAATATGAACATGAACATTAATTGCGTAAGCATATACATATACATTTATCAGTCATGCGAATCTATTATAAAATTTTATTCAATTCACTTTATAAACAGAATAAAATAGAAATATTAATTTATTATTTATTATTTATTAATACACATACAAAACTATTTATTATTACACAATAATATATAATTTTCTTAAATGTTTGAGGATAATACAATTATTTTTATTATCTTCAAACACTCAAGAAAATTGTATATTGTGTAAATGATAAACAGTTAGTAATAGTTTTATTTCATTCTGTTTATAAAATAAATTAAATGAAATTTAACGATAGATTCCTACAGCTAATAAACATATATATGCTTATGTAATTAATCCATATTCAAATTAAAAATACAATTGTAATTGTTATCTACCGAACTAGAATTCATATTATGAATATTTAGATTTAACTGTACGAAAATATATTATACATATTATTTATTAACTATCATATTCACGGCTATTGTGTATAAGCAAACGTGGAAAATATTCGAATATATTTCACTTCAGTTACCGACTACGTTGGACTGTTTGATTTATATCAACATCTGTTTGTCCAACATTTTAATTAAAATGTTGCATGCATGCTGCATCACCGGGGAATGAAGTGCATTCTGGAAAAGTTTTGTAATATCGTCGAAATATTTCTGCGACTATATGCGCACTCATCAACAGTAGTGTGTAATCGAAATAATTAAAATATTTCAATATTGATATCAGTCAAGTCCATTCACGTAAATTCCAGCTAGCTATAATACATGTACGCAAACAAAGTACGTTATTTCACTATAATTTATCTCTCTTTTTTTAAACGTTTTGTAAAAATCCATTTTTTCCTTTTTCCAGAATCATATGGATCTATATGATAGAATCTATAATTCCATTAGAATCGTAAAAAGATAATTTTAATTTTGTAGAGAAATTGAAGATTATACAAAAAATTCAGTCGTTTCGCGAAAATTCAATTCTCACAAAAATACTAGATTTAGTCCAGCTTGAAAAATGACATAATTTCACATTTCATAATCGCGTAAACGATCCGCGTTAAATGAGACGAATCAAATATGCTGATCAAAATATCCCGTATTCGTGGAAAAACCACCGCTTCTCTCTAAAATGACATTCTCGAACGCGGCTAGCGAGAGATATAGCGTTGCTACGATCGCGATATGAGGAATAGACTGGAAGAGAATGAAAAAGAGAGGAGTGAGACAATTTCTACGTAAGCCGGTCTTATCGAGAATTGGATTTTGTATTTCTGGAAAAATAAAAACCGGCGGCGCCGCCGCGCGTTGCCACCATCGCCGCTGTCGCTATCAGCGAAACGGCACCAATCGGCAACGTACGCGATCCTATATTTATAAATCTTCTTTATCAAAATTAAATTAAATGATCGGCGCCGCCGACTAGCCGGATCTTATCGAGTCGACGTCACGATGAAATTTTATCCATTCCGCGGTTTATTGATAACGATAATAGAACACGGCAATTTAGAGAGAATAACTGCAAGTTAATCAATACACAAATAGTTCAAGTTAAGGACAAAATTGAAATACAATGATGTCATCTAAAAACGAATAGAATCAATTTTCCATATGGAATCTACATTTACGTCTTCAGATATACAGTGTCAGAAATACAGGTACTCTGGGACAAACTTTGAGGAATGATGGATTTCACCGCATAGTAATCAACTTTTATTAAAAATGTATAATCTCTACAAAAAGTAACTGAAATTGGAAAATTATACTTTTCATATGAAAATGCATATAAAACAGTTTAAAAACAATATTTATATTTTATAATACAATCTTATACAATAGTTTAAATGAAAATTTTCTTATTTTACCTTAACTGTTTTTAAACCTGTTTGCTTGTGAAATAATTTTTGTTTTAAATTTCATATCGCTTTCAAATTCAATATAGAAAAATTTATAATTTCTTTATGTTGTTGAAAAGTACATGTAAAATACATTCTTAACCTGTGTCTTTCGATTAAGGAGTTACATATCTTTATATAACTATTTAATTGTAAAGTTCGCAATCGACTGCGCGACAGCATTACATATAACAATCAATATTTTTGCTTTTTTTATCTTTTTGAAAAAAAAACAAAGAATTAGTATTCAGACGTCACACGTGACCGAACATATAGCTCCTTAAAAATGCATCGAAAGACACAGGTTCCTAAACAAAGAGTTGATTCTTTTGGAGAGATCTATCATCCCCTAAAATTTGTCCCAAAGGTCCTAAAATGTCCTATATACAGATATAAAAGCTTTCTCTCACATTACAATTCTATATATTATTATTTTTCTACAATAAATATATAGTTTTTTTATAATTATACATAAATCCTTATTACATTAAGGACTCTTCTGCCCCCAAAAAAAATCCTATCAATAAATAACATCCTATCAATAATTAAACGTTCTTCATACGCAGTACTTAAAAAGATTTCTATTAAGAATATATCAGAATTCAAATAATTATACGATCCAGCAGATCAAAGATGCATTGATTTATTATTAAATATTCGCGATAAAGATACTTTTTATACAACTAACGTGTGGGATTTTCGATATTTTGAACATATCTACTAACTGCTTGGAAAGTTGCATCATTATTTTAGACGAATACATGCATTGATAGAATGTATCTTTTATATATGGTCGATATCAGCAAACGCACAACGATGCGATTTTTCCTTCTTTATTTCTCTTTTTTTCTCTCGATTTTAGAAGCTCCTACAAGTGCGCACGGCGTGATTTATGAACGAACGTCTTGACAGCACCGGATACGCTTTTCCTATACAGAGTGGAGAAACGATTTACGATTCATTCGGCATTTAACTTACTGTCGCGTTAAAGAACGCGGTCTTTCCATTTATTATGCGTCGATGAAACGCGACTTCCTCGATGAGAACCCGTCGGAAGTGACATGATGAAACCTAAATGAAAATGAATCGCATAAAACGTAAGTTGAATTTTAACAAAGTGTGAAAAAATTAATGGAAAATCAACTTTCCAATTGCTAAGTTTAAACAAGAAATAAACTATTCTAATTACTTACTATAAACCAAATGCTAAATAATCTCCAATTATTAAATAGATCTCCAATTATAAATTATTAAATTTGTAGGTAATTATTAATTATCGAACTCAAATATACATATAAAAAAATTAATTCTTATATAATACATTCTTATAGAATAATATTTAATTTCTGCCATTAAACATTTTGAGCAATAAAGTTTCAATCAAATTTATCAAATTAAATTTTAATTTTTGCGGAATTAAATTTCATTGTTGAAGCAACGAAAACATAAGATAAGAATCAATAAACAATGCATATATGCACTTTCTTCTAGAGAAAGAAGAGAGCAGAAGGAAGAGTTAAGAAAAAAATTATAGACAGAGATGATAAAGTATTTAACTCTCCGCAGAATAACGCCATGTTAAATGGCATGAAAAATGTCGACTTCGGTCGAAGGTGTTTCGTCCTATACAATTCGTAACTACTACTGTATG